GAGAGAGAGAATGAGAGAGAGAACACATGAGAGGGGAGAGGGTCAGAGGGAGAAGCAGACTCCCTGCCGAGCAGGGAGCCCGATGTGGGACTCGATCCAGGGACTCCAGGATCATGACCTGAGCCGAAGGCAGTCACCTAACCAACTGAGCCACCCAGGCGCCCTTCCTAATGAATTATTAATTAGCTTTATGCTGTAACTGTTATAGTAGGGAAAGGCAACTATTTAGGGAGAAGATGGAAATGTATCTTATAAGTACTTGAAGTGTTATTGTTTCAGATAAAAGAGTTACCCAAGTATGCTTTTTACTGAAAAGAAAAAGGACTAATAATCCTAAATATTTGAGTACATGTTTAATAATCATTGCTCACAGCTGTTAGGACAGCTTCCTTGAACCAATTGAAAATTATTCAGTTTCTAATTTTCAATGCTAATCACCCTTCCACTACTGAAGATAAAGTCTTGTTCTTTAACAAACTCAAAACCTTTTAGATTGTGTATGTGAAATATGTAAATCAAGCCAATCTTTTTGAGTGTTACTGAACACCTGATATGTGATCAGCACTGTGAAGTCATCTTGCACTGACTATATATACTAAAGGTTTACAGAGCATGCTAACATGTGTTTTCTTGATCTGTCATTAGAGCAGCCCTAGGAGGTAGGCAGGATATTTCTGTTTCCCTTTCTATGGATAAAGAAAATTGAGACTCAGCAAAGTTAAGTAACATCACTTGCCAAAATTCACTCAGCTAGCAGGTAGTACAGTTGAGATGTAATATTTTAATTCTCTGCCCACCACACTACATTGCCTCCCCTATAGAAGAATCATTTACCTGGGAAGAAAGGTATTATTAATTAACATTCCAGACACCAGTAATTAAGTAGTAAAGTGGGTTTAGAGATGGGAGCTATGATGACTCCTGGAGCAATTAACACAGACTTCCAGAAAAAACTGGGAATTGAGCTTGGTTTTTTGATCAGAAAGAGAAGCAGCTAAAATGCAGATGGGAGAGGCGCCTGGGTAGCTCAGTCGTTAAGCGTCTGCCTTTGGCTCAGGTCATGATCTCAGGGTCCTGGGATTGAGCCCCGCATGGGCTCCCTGCTCAGCAGGGAATCTGCTTCTCCCTCTCCCTATGCCCCTCCCCCTGCTTGTGCTCGCTCATGCTCTCTGTCAAATGAAGTATTTTTAAAAATAAATAAAGTAAAACAGCAGTCACATTATTATTCCTAATTAAAAAAAAAAAAAGTTGAAAAAACAAAGGCTTTCCAGACCAGATTACTAGTCAAATGGATAAAACATCCCTATTAAAACCAGAAAGTTGTTTCCCACCCCTGATGTATGAACTCTGACTTTGAGACTCTCAGGAGATTAGTTCTGTAATCCAAATTAAGTCAGGTCTAATGGGAAAGTCATGACCCATGCATTCGAAGAGAGCTGAATTCAAATCCAGTCACTTAAGCTCGCTACCCTCATGTGTTAGAACATTTCCCTGGAGTCAGAAAAAAATTAAATCCAGATTCTAACTTTTCCACCTAAGACAACATACTTTATTTCTTTAAGCCTCCATTTCCCCATCAATAAAATGGTAATAATGATACTCTTTGCAGGGTTTTTGACTGAGGCTAGAATAATTATAAGTATCATACCTGCCACAGTGCTTAGTATATAATAGTTCTCAATAAATTGTAACTGCTTCCTCTACTAGTAATAAGGGACTTAACCTCTCAGATTTTCTCATCACAAAAATAGGGCTGATACCTCAAAGGATTGTTGCAGGATTAAATAAAGTAATAGATGTGATGGGTAGATGTTAAGTTCTAGGTAAATGAATTTATCTGCAAGGGGAATGAGAAAAATGATTCGTAATTCTGGATATGGCACTGTTATTGGTAATTCAGTGAACACATTTTAAAAATGAAATTTGAGGAAGGCTTATGATTGAGACTGTTGGAGTTGTTTGAATTAACTCAGTTGATTTCTGGATCTCATTGTTCAGGATTATAGTAAAGTCCAGCACTTGGCTCTCCATGCATTCCATAATACAGAAGTGGAGGCTATGCAAGCAGAAAGTTGTTATCAGCTGGCTAGATCATTCCACGTTCAGGTAAGATCATTTTAAACCTTCTCTGAATATCTAATTCTTTTGTTTCGTAGTGTTTCAAGCTTTTTAAAAACTTTTGTACATGAAAAAGAAAATAAACGTCTGTATACACTGTTGGTCTTGTTTTATTTTCATTTTTTAGGAAGATTATGACCAAGCTTTCCAGTACTACTATCAAGCCACACAGTTTGCTTCATCCTCTTTTGTGCTGCCATTTTTTGGTTTGGGACAAATGTACATTTATCGAGGTGACAAAGAAAATGCATCTCAGTGCTTTGAGAAAGTTTTGAAAGCTTATCCTAATAATTATGAAACTATGAAAATTCTTGGCTCACTATATGCTGCCTCAGAAGATCAAGAAAAACGAGATATTGCCAAGGTACTTTTAAAAAATTGTAGCTATTTTCTCATAGTTATCACTAGACTGTCATGCCTCATTCTTGTTATTGCTAGTAGAGATATGATGGAAGCAGTTTTGTTAGCCGAGCTTGTTCCAGTTGAAATAACGAACAGTTGACGTATTAAACAAGGTAGAGTAGCTACCACTTTTTACTTTGACAGCCTGTAGTTGCTGAATTAAGCCTGCATCAGCTTAATGACCTCTTTTATCCCAGGGCCATTTGAAGAAAGTCACAGAACAGTATCCTGATGACGTTGAAGCATGGATTGAATTGGCACAAATCTTAGAACAGACTGACATACAGGTATTTTAGCAGTGTTTTTGGTCTTCTACCTAATGTGTTTTTTGAAAGTGTGGTATAATGTTTCTCCCTTTTATTTTCACTTACCCCTTATTGTCTCCACCATGAAAATACAGGGTGCCCTTTCAGCCTATGGAACAGCTACACGGATCCTTCAGGAGAAAGTGCAGGCCGATGTCCCGCCAGAGATTCTGAATAATGTGGGTGCCCTCCATTTTAGACTTGGAAATCTAGGGGAGGCAAAGGTAGGGAACTGGAACTATTCCCTTCTTCCATACTGTCAAGTTGAATGCACACTTTTTTAGATATATCAGCTGTCTTTTAACAATGTAATTTTCTTTTCTTTTTCATAGAAATATTTTTTGGCATCATTGGATCGTGCAAAGGCAGAAGCTGAACATGATGAACATTATTATAATGCCATTTCTGTTACAACATCATATAATTTAGCCAGGCTGTATGAGGCAATGTGTGAATTCCATGAAGCAGAAAAACTATATAAAAACATCTTACGGGAACATCCTAATTATGTTGACTGTAAGAATTATAAACGTTTTTTTTTTTTAAAGATTTTATTTATTCATTTGACAGAGAACACAAGCAGGAGGAGCAGCAGGCAGAGGGAGAGGGAGAAGCAGACTCCCCACTGAGCAGGGAGCCCAATGCGGGGCTCGATCCCAGGACCCTGGGATCATGACCTGAGCAGAAGGCAGATGCTTAACCGACTGAGCCACCCAGGCGCCCCAAGAATTGTAAACTTTTTTTTTATGAATTAAAATTCCCACAACAGCAGCAAAAATTCAGCCTAAAAAAAAATCTTTCTTAGAATCAATAGCAAAAAAATGTGAAGGTTATAATGTCCCCTTTTCCTTCAAGGCAAATTTATGGCCTTAAAAAAAAAACCAATGCAGCTTCACTTAAATTTATGCTAGAAACTAAAAGAAATAACTAAAAACCAGTTGAACCATATATTTCATAGGGTAGGTGATCTTCAGTGGGTCAGCTACCTTTATTAGACTTTGAACAGCTCCTTGACTTATTTGGTGATGGATGGACCTTTATGATGCTCCTGCTCTGATATCGTATTAACATTTTTGCAATGTTTATAATAGTAAGAAAGAGCATTGTTTTACGTTGAAATAATTACTAGTAAAATATCCTACCTTGAGTTTTTACACACTAGACATTGTAAAATTTGGAAAGCTTTTTTTAATTTATTTATTTGACAGAGAAAGAGCGAGAGAGGGAACACAAGCGGGGAGTGAGAGAGGGAGAAGCAGGCCTCCCGCCGAGCAGGGAGCCCGATGCGGGGCTCGATCCCAGGACCCTGAGATCATGACCTGAGCCAAAGGCAGTCACTTACCCAACTGAGCCACCCAGGCGCCCCGGAAAGCTTTTAATTAAAAATAATTTACAATACTGTACTTCCCTTAAAAGAACCTAAAGCTATGATATTTTGATTCTGGTTAGATCAGGAGCTTTTTTTTTTTTTTTAAAGATTTTATTTATTTATTTGAGAGAGAACACATGAGAGGGGGGAGGGTCAGAGGGAGAAGCAGACTCCCTGC